GATCGCTTCTGACTCCAGTGTCCACATCATTAATGAAGATGTTGAACAGTATGGGTCCAAGGACAGAGCCTTGGGGGACCCCACTGGTCACAGGACACCACGATGAGTGACTTCCATCGATTACTACCCTCTGGGTCCGACCCCGGAGCCAATTTTCCAGCCAGTGGATCGTGGAGGACCCAAGGGGACAATTGGCCAGTTTCTCCCAGAGGCGATCATGGGACACCAGATCGAAGGCTTTTTTGAAGTCAAGATATATGACATCAATCTCTTCTCCCTTGTCCAGGTGATAGGTCACCTGGTCGTAGAAGGAAATGAGATTGGTCAAGCAAGACCTACCCGCAACAAACCCGTGCTGGCTATCCCTTAAGATGTTGGCGTTGGCCAGTCCATTAAGGATGGCCTCTTTAATAAACTTTTCTAAGATCTTCCCCGGGATATAAGTCGGCTGATGGGCCTATAGTTAGCTGGATCCACTTTCCTCCCTTTCTTGAAGATAGGCACCACATTGGCCTTCTTCCAGTCTTCGGGCACTACACCAGAGCGCCAAGAGTTTTCAAAGATCCGTGCTAGAGGCTGGCCTATGATGCTCACCAGCTCCTTGAGTACCCTGGGGTGAAGATTGTCAGGGCCGGCTGACTTGAAGGTATCCAGCTTCTCAAGATGTTCCTTCAGAAAGTCAGCATTAATGGAGGGCAGGGGATCACCCTCACCCGGACTTCCCGGCCCTGTAGCGGGCATGGGCGTCCCATGGGGCTGATGTATGACTTCCTCTTAATCAGGAGCCCCTTCCCTTCGATATAAACTTCAGTAGGAGCTGTGTGCTGTACACATACCAAGACTGGACTTCTGGTTTATAAAATGTGACCATTTGCTTTTGGGGAAGGAAGATGAAAAATGACTTAATATAATGGTAGGAGGATGCTAATTGAAAAATACTGTATCCATTGAGGTAGGAACTAGAGCAAGAAATGGCCTGTTGAACCAGACTATTTCATGGAGCCCAGGATGCTGCCTGGGAGTGGCTAGTGATTGTGTATACTTACAGAATAAAATGTCCTTTTAAGTAAAGGTTCTCCCAGATTGCTGCTGTTTACTGGTTGCTGTACAGTCTGCAAAACTAGGGTTTCTATGCTTTCTATCCCACTAAAGTCACTAAAGGGTTTCTTCTATGTAAATGATGAATCCTTTTGTTAATTGAAGCTCTTAGCTTCAATTAAAAATAGATCCGTTCAATTTTAAATACGTTGCTTTTCAGTTTCTTTGCTCCTGTGTTTTTGAAGGGGATCAATGGGTGTGCCTACTTAATCTGATTTCTTCCATGAATTATTTTCATAGAATCAAAGAAAATTAGGGTTGGAAGGGACATCAGGAGGTCATCTTGCCCAACCCCCTGCTCAAAGCAGGACCATCCTCAGCTATATTGTCCCAGCCAAGACTTTGTCTACCAGGGTCTTAAAAACCTCTAAGAATGGAGATTCCACAACCTCTCTGGGCAGCCTGTTCCAATGCTTTACTACCCTCCTAGTGAGAATAGTATTATCACGGGATAACAGAATGACCCAACTGCCACTTACCTTCTAAATCTTGTTAATATTTTTGTGAACTAAGAGTTCTTATGCAATTCTGATTATGGAATAAGTGTTTTGCTCAAGGGAATTTATCATTGCTGGAGAGAACAAAATCCTCCATCAATTCAGTTTTTTTTCATCTGAAGGTCTTATGCCTATAATTTCTGTTTTTTGAATGCCTGCTATTAATTAAGAATGTCTCTTCATAAAAGCAAAATAAAAGAAAAATATTGGCAGCTAGGCCTACTATGTTATGCCTATGTTCATAACTTAGTCTAATTCTATTTCTGCTAAATTCATATATACTGTTCTTTTATTATAGTGGTGGAATGCAGTTACTGGAGAAGCCTTGCAAACATTCTACACAAATGGAACAGATCTCCAGTCGATATATGTGTCCTCTAATTTCAAAATATATGTGACTGTTGATAACCTCGGTATCCTTTATGTACTACAGATGATGGAATGAATCTATTGAATGTTTGGGATGTGAAAGTTCATGTGACTGAAATGCATAGTTTTGAGCTGGAAACAAAATTCCACTAAATCTGCTGTGAAGTGTTTTTCAATATTGCATTCATTAAATGAATTTGTGTGGGTAATATTTATGTACATTCTCAAATGAGCATACATTTAATCCTGGTTTTTGATCAGCATTATTACTGTTAATGGTTTGTCCTTGAATTTTTATTTGCATCTTAAAATATGCAACTTGTTACGCTGTATGTAAAATTATATTAAGATTTATTCAAGCAGGGTGAAATCATTAATAAAGAGCAGAAGGAGAGATATAGTAGGACTAGAATATAGGAGAACTTCATTTTGTGCAGGTTATATAGCAAATGTTTTCAGGCCACGAGAACAACTAACATGCAAAAAAAAAAATCTTTTACTATGTATGCATGACTGCTTTAATGGATACAGAACAGAAAGAATTGGAGACTTGGCATATATTGGAAAATGAAATTCTAACAAAGTTAGTACTGTTTGAGGAGTGTGGCAATATTTAAGAGAAATCCAGTAAGGGATGCGTTTGTACAGCAGTGCTGCTCTGTGCTACTGCACAAAACCATAATGTTTTCCAGATCTGTGAAGATACAGAGCATTGTAGCAGGTGGTGAGTGTGGCCTACATGGGGGAAAGATAACTAAGTGCACTTTTTTCTCAACAAGAACTGGTACCTGTGTTGCAGGAGATAGATTCCTACTCCTACCCCTTTCCTACTCAGAGGAAGAATACAAAGATTGGCAGTTAAGCTTTACATGAAATAGGTCTGAAGGTTTGTGCTGAAAAATATAGGAAGTAGTAAAATGTGAGTTACTTTGCATGACTATGAGCTCTGTGCCATGATGATATTTTATCCTGTCCTGGTCTGGTTTGTTTACAGGAGATTCTCTGCACAGAAATCTCTTCTTCCCTCCCCCAACGTATGTCATTTTTAATGTACTTCTTGATCCAGTTATAAGGTACAATATTAGAGATTTTCTACTGTAAATGCAACTTTCCTTAACCTAGATTTTGAGAATATTTAAATAACAGAATTTCTAAGCAAACACAAGTGAGCCTTGTTCTAGTCGAATGATTCTAAATCCATTAGTTAGTTCTGTTGTGTGTGGGTCACTTGCTCAGGCAGAAAGTAATTGTAATTTCTACAACTTGATGATAATAGCAACATATTTTTACTTCGAACGTTTAGCATATGTTTAACAAATGTTTGCACCAGTTGGTATTAAGTAATAAACTTCAAATTTTCAATAATTGTTCAGTTTGAATTTCAGAACAAGTTTTAAAATCATTCTTAATGTTTTTCTATGTTTTAGCAAATTTTTGTTTTTCAAAGCTGTAGTTTTGTATAATTAAACCCCTTTGTTAAGGCAATATTGAATACGGGTCAGATATAATTAATGTATTGCTAGCCAGACATGTGTTTTGTATTTTGCATTTGTACATATAAAGTATTAAATAAAGACAACGCAGGCAACTACAGCCTAATTTTTTAACCAATCTTATCTCTTGAGTTTGGTTTTGTAGTTGTTTTTGTGGGGAAGGAAAATATGCTAAGATTGTCTCTGCATGAGCAATTGTGCCTGAGAAAAGCAGTCAGGAGCTAAATAATTTCTCTTTGTGGCTTGCCATCTATACAGTTCCGCTTGACACTGCATCCCAAAAATGCTTTGCTAAGGTAAGCAACAAAGAGGGTGAAGTAAGGTAAAAAGCATCTTCTATATGGTACTGCAGCTGTGCTGGCCCCTGGCAAACCATGTTACTGGGCAAGGGCTAGAGTCCTGAGCTTGTCAAGAAATTCTAGGCTTCTCCAGATCCCTCAGAGCTCTTTGCTTTTATAATTCATGTAGCCAACAATAGCACCCTATGCAGCCCAGCATTCCAAGAGCTTAAAAGGTAGCCTTATTTCACTTTCACCTTCTGCAAACCTGGAATGGTACCTTATGGAAATTCAGCAAAGATTTCAAGAGAGTTTTAAATAGAACCAATTAGATAATGAGCTACAAAATGGATCTTTCATATTATAAGCTACAGCAGAAAATTCTCCCTTGCATGACTGCTAGTGAGAGCATGCACAGAGATAGGAAGAGCCTTGTATTGGATTTGTCAAAAGGGTGAGGGTGGGGGATAGAGTCTAGGAAGAAATGGGTATAAATCTGTGGAGGATTTTAATTTTGAACTGGATCCTGACATGAATAGGGCCAGCGTAGGAGATTGAAGGAGTGAGGATGTGGCTGTCCTTTTCTGTAAGTGTAGCATTCTGCATATTCCAGGACCTGGATAGTGGAGTTATAAACCAAGAATACAAGTTGATACATATACACAGATTTGGGGCTTTGGAGTCCAGGCAGTAATGCATTTGAACAGAGATGGTGAACGGCAGACTCGCATCTACAGCTGATGCAAGTGAAGGGGAAACCGTGATGCCAGGATTGTAAATGGAGAGGCCAAGAAGAAGATGCAAGTTGAAGAAAAAGAATAAGAGAAAACAAAATAAACTCTATCCTGCCTTATGCAAAATAATATCCTTAAAAATAGAATTATATGTATGTATTTACACACACACAACACCCCCACCCCCCCAAAAAAAAACCCCTCAATGTCCTTAAATGAGAATCAACACAACTAAGACAAAGTTTTATAGCAACATTTACTTTAGGAAAAAAATCCAGCATGGTCATCAAATTTAGCCATTTCCCTTGATGCTTAGATATACTCTAATTAAACACTAAAGGAACAAAGTTTAGCCAGAAGCAATTTATTAGTTACAGCCATTATCTCTCATAATGCCAGATCAAGTCAAAATGCTTCTCTCTATAAATCAAATAATGATTTATGAATATCCCCAGTTGTTACCAAGCCTTGTCCTCAGCCACTATACTCATCATTGATAATCAGCTTTCAGATACAGCCTTATTGTAGGTCCACTTGCCAGTTCCCCTGTCAGTTTTTGCAGAGGTTTTTGTGTAGATGCTGCCCCCACTCACTCCTTCACATATTTGTTCTCTAATTCTTTACTAAAGATGTTTTATCACTCCTCATTTCTTTGAGGAGAGTGAGCCAAATCAGCAGCATGGCAGATGGAATATAATATCCAAGTCCCTATAGCTCTCATCAGCTCTGGCTGCAGAGTTCAGCACTCCACACCCCAGTGGGTAGCGGGCACAGAACACAGCACAGATGCCAAAACTAGAGAATGTAGGAAAAGGCCTTCTAGGGAGTCAGTCCTGAAAAACAAGCAGCTACCCATCTTGAAGTCCAGAAGGTACCCTTGTAGTAGAAATTAAACGTTGCTTTGAGTTGTTTCCTATTTTGTTTCCTTGGTGCCCCTGAGTGCACAACCAAGAAGCACAGCCTGCCCCCACACGTCTCCATATGTGCCAAACTTAGAAATCAGATGGTGAAACTTCCGCAAGGTTACCACCTGCTGCCACTTTGGCAGCTCTGCCTCTGGCATGCTCGAGAGCACCACTTTATTTCCAGATATTCCTTATTCCTGCTTTATCTGCACATCGAAGAGCAAATCACACAAAGGAACTCTCATGGACCCAGAGGAACCGACATCTACCTTCAGCTTCCTCAGTGCAAAATGAAGTTTATTTTCTACCTATGGGGACTTTTACCATCTTTAATTTTCCCTCAGCCTAAAGATGGGTGCGTGTGCCTGAAAGCTTGCAAAAAAGTTCATGTTTTTGTGATTTCTTAGTTGGTCTAATAAAAGGTGTATCATCTCTGAACCAAGAGTTTGAGTTTTGCATTTCATTTCCAGATATGACATTTGTAGTGTTGGAGGAGCTGGGCAGGGTTATGCATCTCAGCAGCACACTTGGAAGTGCCGAGGAAATGGTACCCTTTAAGGCAGTGCTTCCCAAATTTTTCCTCAGCATGACTTATTTATTACCCCATTTCCTCAGCATGTCCTCTCACTCCCAACCTGCTCCCCCCCTCCACCCCCGATGCTCCTTCTCCCCACCCACAGCACCCTGGCCCTGCTGGTGCCTCTCACTCCCAACCCACAAACCCCCATTCCTCCCCAGGTGCTCAGGGCAGGACCCATAGCTCCATTTCTCACCCCCCCCCCCAGCAGTGCTCAAGTCTCAGCTGCTACCCATGGGAGGTGGTAGCTGCTGTGGTCAGAGCCCAGCTCCTACCCGCACCACCATCCCCTCCCCCATGCGTGGCATGACCAGAGCAGAGCCTGGGGGGTTGGGGGCAGGGAGGATACAAGCTGCCTGCAGTGTGTTCAGGGCTTGCTGTCTGCTGGGGGCTCCCCATCCTGCTGCCCTCCCCCCGGGAGCTCCACAGCCCAGTGGGTGGACCCCAGTACAGGTGGGAGCCCCGTGACACCATGGCTGCCAAGCTGAGGTGCCCCCTGCCCACCTGGCAGCAGCAAGGGCACAACTCTATGCTGCTGCACCTCTTGTTGGCCATGGTAGCGCTCCCTACCCTGCCAGGTCCCACCTATTGGGCAGTGGAGGCAGTTCCTGCCCAGAGCTGGTCTGGCCAGACTGCAGCCCTACACCCTGCTGTGGACACAGACAGCTTGGGGCATGTATCCCCCCTCCCCCCCGGCCCAGTCACATCGCCTTGGCCCGCCTGCCCCTCTCCACCATGTTGCCTGTGCTCCCCCACCCCTGTAACACATCACATGTGCCCCCTCCTCCCCGTCCCCATAGACTTACCTGGAGGGAGCTGCTCTTCACAACTGCTTGGCTGCCACATGAATGTGGGCATGTATATGCATGTGGTGCCCCCTGCCTTCCATTGCCCTCCCCTGCTCCCCCCAGTCCCTTGCAGGATGGAACTCTATCAGCCTGCAAAGGGTAACCCACATTTTCCCACAATTTTCTCCTTTAAAGAAGAAATCCATGATTTTCTTCTTTAAAGGAAAAAAAATCCACATTTTTCTGCAGCAAACAGAAAACACAGATCCCTATTTATCACAAACCTATCTCCTGATGTTGCAACCCCATTTGGGGTTGTGACCCACAGTTTGGGAGCCACTGCTTTAAGGAAAAAGAGCTTGCTAACAATTTAGGCTAAGTACAGACAGTCAAAAAGCCTGAGGCTGAATCAATTCAATCTTCTCAGCTTAATCTAAGCTGCGTAGATTGAACCGAGAAGCAAGTGAACAGACATTCACTTTTGATTCTGGAATGCAGCCACATATCTTTACTGTCTCAGGCCAGAAGCTGGGGGGCACTAGAACAAGCCTCCCTGCTTGACTGGAGCAGACAATTTGGGCCAAGGCTAGCCCACCCACCCTGAGGGGAGGTGCAAAGCTTCCTGGGATGCTGGAAACTGA